ATGGTGACTCTTTACTCGATCGCATCGTTACTGGTGACGAAACATGGGTGAAACATGTGAACTGTGAAACGAAATTGCAATCAATGCAGTGGGGGCACACAAGTTCTCCCCAAAAACCCAAGAAATGCATGCAAACAATGTCGGCAAGGAAGATGATGGCGACTGTTTTTTGGGACAGAAAAGGTGTAATTTTGGTGGACTTCCTGGAAAGAGGCACTACAATAAACTCTCAAAGGTATTGACCCAAACTCTCCAAAAACTCAGAAGAGCAATTCAAAACAAGCGCAGAGGAATGTTGAGCTCTAAGATCTTGTTGATTCACGACAAACGCCCGGCCCCACACGGCAAATGTCACTCGTAAAGTTCTTGAATATCTTTTAAGTGGGAGTTGTTTCCTCATCCGCCGTACAGTCCCGACCTGGCACCGAGCGACTTCCACCTATTCCCAGCAATGAAGAAGTGGCTGGCTATGCAGCGTTTTGATGACGACGCACAGCTGCAAGAAGAAGGTAACGAAGTGGTGTGAAGACGCAGGCGGCCGAATTTTTCGACGAAGGAATTTCCAAGCTCTTACATCGCTACGATAAATGCCTTAATTTGTATGGTGACTATGTAGAAAAGTAGTATTTGAGTGTGGCTTTCATCTGTATATAATAAAATTTGTTTCCTATACTTTGTTTATTTTTTTATTCCAAAACGTAATCTACTTTCTGGATAGCCCTCGTATATAAATATACTTATATATATATCCACTCTGTTACCCGGCTCAGTGATCTCAGTTTCTTTACTCTTATATGTTTGTAAATTGTACATTTTTTGCTTTAAAAATGATTGAATGATGTTGTTTTTATCTTCCGGTTAAGGTTTTTATGCCTTTAGTAAATCTGTATGCAATATTTTTAGAATTATCAACAATTTCAAACAAGTTGTTTAAGTGCCGCTAAGGCTTTTTTTTATGGCGGCCATGATTGTTTACATTTCAAACAGCAGATTAGTGGATTTGTTGCCAATTTAGAGAAACTTAGCTTCGCAACAACAAAAATAACGCTTTCATTTATTATTGCCAATTAAATCATGCTTAATCCTTTCTGGAATTTTTTCGAGGAAATAAGTGTTTAAGATTTACTTCGTAATTTTTAATATAGATATTTTGAGTTTTTATGTATTTTTGCCTTTTCGCGAAGTGATAACTGAATTAATTGAATGAGAAATACTGAATCATCTGTGAAAAACTGTGTATTTTTTTTTGTATTGTTTGCTTAATTTCTTTTATATATCATTTTATATTTATTATAGTATTTGAATAGAACATGTGGCAACGATTAGATAATTCTTCAAATGATATAAATTTTGTTCATTCTGAGTTATAATATGAAAGAAATATAACGCTGTTAAGTGAAACTAGCGCCAGAGTGTCGGTATGGTAAACAAATATAGTGAATTTTAAAGAGTGCCTTTGTTCTGTGGTTTATGCGTTATCGACGAAGTAGATTTAATTCAATCCAATAAAGTTTAAATGAAATGCGAGAAAAAATACGTATAATTTAATATTCCGTACAAGGAAGTCATGTGGTGTACACATCAGATTTGTTCTTTATATCTGCGAGCATAGCATGAATACGTTTGTGTTTTTCAATACATAATATCAGAAAATTGAAATAATTTGAAATTTAAGTGCAGCACAAGAATAAATACGATCAAATCAATCAGCAATTGTCGAAGTATCACAGAATAAATTTTTGTAGGTAATCAAGTGGAAGATAAATTAAAGATTTCACATTTTACGCATTATAATCTGGTAACACTTGCCAAATTGTATGAATGATTAATATATGATAGCGTAACGTAACACGGTTCTAACTTAATCTAACTGTTAAAAATGTGATTTAACCTTTCAGTAAAATATTTGAAATAATGAGGTTAAAATATGCTAGAAAATACGTGATTACAGGATGACGTTTTTTCTTAGAAGAATTATTTCATATTTACAATACCTAGCTAAGCAGCTAACAATTTACTTATTAAAGCTTTATTTATTTTTCTAGGAAGAAGATTTTTTTAATTATTTTTCTATCAATACCCAAATGTGTTACTTGATTAAGTTATTTATTATAACAGACCTCTAGAGATACCTATATTAAAAGATATGCTTTCGTGGGTGGTTTACTAGATGAAGTTGATTCTTATTGACGTCGTGAAACTGAGGAATTCAAAAGGCTTCTTACAAGCGGCTTATTTAGATATCGCGACCTGATCTTAGGATAAACTACCAGTGTTGAACATCTTACCTCGTTGGTCAGTGGTTCTATACTTACTAAAAATGAATTCGGTACAAAAGTCAACTTCCCCCCCCCTCTCCAATCTTTTTGAGTTAATATATTTTTTATAAAAATAAAATATGACAAACCACTTATAATCTTAAATGCCTACATATATTTTCGAAGCCTTACAACATTTTATATTACTTGCGTATGAAAATATTGACTTGATCTGAGAAAACGTTGCCTAAGAATGTAGAAGAAAATTAAAAAATGATGCTTAATTTCGCGAATCTATATGAAAGATCGAACTGTGCAAATTTCAATTTATGTGTTTAGCCACCTGTATGCTTATTTGTGTGTTAGCCACCTTATATAACTTAACACCTTATATTTCAATTTATGTGTTAGCCACCTTATTTAACAGAATACAGGCGATTTTCTAAAGGTCATTCATTAAAATATAGTATCAGAAAAAATCTGTTATAATTTAGGATACAATACAGCAAATCATTTTTATATGTGTTTTCTACTAGCTCAAAAGTTAATGTGCTTTGTCCGCAACGGATTGAATCATGCCGCAATCTGAGAAAACGATGCATAAGTGTTTAGAACAGCTAATCACCTCTAGATGGCAGCACTAAATACTTTGGGTGCTGCCGTCTTATTTTATTTTTAATAAATATTTCAAGAGAGACCGGAAATATTTTATTCGAGTTTAAATATAGCTTAGAATGATGCAAAATTCCTATACTGCTAAAAATGTGCAACAGAACAAAAATTTTTTAGCATACAACTACATTCTTTGGAATGAAATATATTTTTGATTAATTGTGATAGAATAATTAATAGGGAAGAATTGCGTTAAGTCATCGAAAGATCGGAATAATGCTCAACATTAGTCTACAAAAAAATATTAAACTAGAGTCCTCTTTATTGAACAATCCGTTTATTTGAAGACATTGTGGAAAAATATGAAGAAATAAGGCTAAGTTGAAACAATAACTTGTTTAAACTCTGAAGACAACTAAATAACTGCCAATTAACACTACAAATCTCGCATAAATTTTAATGGACCATATTTACTCAATTTATCCTTAATTTTAGTTATTATATCTCTTGATAATCGAAAGGGGGAAATTACGCAGTGTCTGCCATTTTTCAAAGAAAGAATCAAAGGAAGAAGATAGCAGATAAAAAAAGGAGAAGAAAAATATGAGTTAAATATGATAATATCATTGCAAGTATATTCTTTTCCTGGCGTTTGACACTGCTAATTTGAATAACTTGCATGCATGATTTTATAATCTGACCCTCGAATTTCTGAGCATTAATTTCCAAATTGTATATGCATCGTAGCTGTTTAACTTAAACCTAACGCTAAAATGGAATCTAAGCATAAAAATTAAAACGGCAATTTTTTATCTGTTACATGTAGTTGTGCACCTTTCTTTTTGGTTGAAATCGGCCACACGAAAAGTATGTAAATATATATGTATACACCCACTCTGTTACTCTGCTCAGTGAGCTCAGTTGTTTTTATTCTTATACGTTGGTAAATTGTGCATTTTTTGCATTAAAAATGATTGAATTATGTTGTTCTTCAGTTCCGATTAAGGTTTTTATGCCTTTAGCTAACCTGCATGTTATAGTTGTAGAATTATCAACAATTTAAAAGTTTTTTAAGTTCGGCTAAGCCTAATTTCTGATTACTATGCCGTCCATGTTTGTTTACATTTAAAACTTACCAGAATAATGGATTTGTTGCCAGTCTAGAGAAACTAAGCTTCCTAACAACAAACTAACGTCTTCTTTTATTACTTTATTACTTCGAATTAAATTATGCTTACTTCATTATGGAATTAACATTTAAGTTATTAGCTTATTTTTATATAACTGTAACTTTAATTGTAAAAATTATTTTTTTAATGGTTTTAACTGTATTTGTTGTTTTATGTTTTTCTATAACTGTAAAATTTTAATGAAAATATTTTGAATTTTATGTATTTTTGCCTTGCCGCGAAGTGAGAATTAAATTAATGAGTAGCGCATGCGCATTAGGTAAGCGGCGCTGAATCGTCTGCGAAAAAGTTTTTTTAATTTGTTTAATTTCTTTTATATATCGTTTTAGATTTATTATAGTATTTGAATAGAACTTATGGAAATTCTTCACATGATACAATTTTTGTGCACCCTGAATTTTAAAATGAATGTTAATGTTGTTAAATGAACGTAGCGCCGAAGTGTGGCTACGGAAACTAAATATAATGAACTTTAAAAGAGTGCATTTATTCTATTGTGGTCTAAGCGTTATCGACGAAGTAGATTGAATTCAAAATTCTTTAACCGTTAATTCAATATGTTTAAATGAAATGTGGGGAAATTGCGTATAATTTAATATTCCATGCAAGGAAGTCATGTAGTGTACACATCAGATTTTTTTTTAATAGCATAATAAAAATTACTCTTCAGATACGTTTCTGATGGCAAAAGTGTTCATTTTCATAACTATCCAAACGATTTTTTGGCCTTCAAAGCCTTATTTATGTATTCAGACATCATGCTCATGCATCAAATAATGTTATGCAATTATAAATGCCAACCTTAATCTCATTATTATAAACAAATGAATCAACATGGTGTTATTATCTCTTCCTATCGTACAGCCCTCACGTATAGCTGCAATGAAGGCGGCGATGGCGGTAGTTGTTGGGAAATTCTTAATGTAGGTTAAAATTGCAGGAAAACAGAGCCATGGAAATCGGAAGAAAATGTCGACAACGGAATTCACCGATGGGGCAAGAGCAGATGCATAATTTGGGATGCAGATGAGACGGGGTATAAATATTACTTTATACATTTAGATCTCCGCAGCCGTTATTGGAAGCTTCTTGGATGAAACACCTTCGGAGAAAGGTAAGATAATCATTTATTTAATTTTTTTTTAATTTAAGGATATGTATATGATTCGAGAATGGAAGTGTTTACATGTAATGATTGTTTTTTCTAACTGTATGCTTTTTTGAGACTCGAGAGCTCTTGAATTAAGAAACAATTTTCTCGAGATTCTAGATTCCCTTTTGGAATTTCTCGACATTCTGAAAATATTGTTTAAAAAAAGGAGCTGATAAGAATGAAACACATTTGAAATTTTTTAAAGCTTACACTACCATTCGCATAAAGTTTATCTTAATATGAGAATACTGATCAATCAATTATTTTACGATGCACATATTTTAATTGTATTCATTCTCTTTGGGCTTATCTTAGGAAATTTTCTCTGCTTTTCCTATACAGCTTGGATTATTCGTTTCTTTAGAAATAGATTTTAATTATCAAAGATTACTTCTTGAACTAGTCAAGTTTTAAGCATTTTTTAGCTCAAAAAAGGCATTAGTCCAAATGCGCTATTATTTTCGAAACTCGAATTTGCTTCTATCGAATTTCCCACTATAAAGGGCTGTATTACTTTTCAAATTGTTGCATCAAAATATTATCGCCCTCTATTATTTTTAGAGAAATTAAATAATCGAAAAATCTGCTTGTATATATGTATGTTCCTCGTATTATAAAAAAAACGACGGTTCCTAGGGGTGTATAAATCTTTTAATTACGTACTCCTCCGCACGAATATGTGTACCTGGAAGCCTGGATATTAAATTTCGAATTTTATATTTCATGTTTCCTAAAACTTTAATGAATTTTTGATTAACAAGCTCAACGATAGGAAAGTGAGCAATGGCAACACTGTACAATTCTTTTCATCAAACATTTTTATCTCCAGCGCACGAGACTGTCTATCGGAAATTCTAAAGATATGCTATTTTCAAACATTTTGTGATTTTACTGTTGAATTGAATTTTATGTAGCATAATTGCGAAGAACATGACACTTAATAAATTTAACACACGAAACGTTAATAATAAAAAGTCAAAAAAATATATTTTTTAAGCTATATTACTAAGAAAACTGAACATTGATATGATGAACTGAGAAAAGTTTGAGAAAAAAATAGAAAAATGTATGCGAACACTAAACGCTGCATCAGGAATTCTAAACATGCTGCTATGCTGCTTTTAAAAATTTTGTGAAGTTGAATTGTATATGATGTTAATACGGAGAAAATGATGCTTAATATTAAAGCTAAAAACACAAAAAGAAATGGGTTACGAGGAGTGACTGCATCAACAGACTGGTAGACTGCAAGCTCAGCGAAAGCGTAAAAAAAAAAAAGCTCAACAAATGTTTTTGGATGACAGTTAAAATCTGAACACTTCAAGATTTTCTTTTTCCACCGGAGCACTTGTTTTGATCATATTAAAAGAACCTGTCGATCCCTCTAACTTGCGATATGTTTGGAATAATTATTAGCCCAAAAGTCGCGAATTATTAGTCCCGAATTTTCTTAATTATCCTCTTTGACAGTTGAGAATCTTGAAATATTAAAAAAATCTTAAGTATATGAACCCAAGACTTTTTGTATATCCCGAAATTTTGCGACAGAATTATCAAGTGCAATCTTTACTAACATACTTTTGACTAACTTTGTAGAGACATTAGGTATTTTTTGGAAGCAGGCAAGATGAAAAATGAGCAACGTCTTCGGGAATCGAACCACGGACCTCTAGAATACGCGCCCAGAGTGCAGACCACCACACCCCGAAGGTATGCTAGAAAGGCGGGAGAGGTACCTTAACTTCTAATTAACAAATATATTGTATTTATATTTAGAAAAATTTCAAAATATTTACAGTTTTCTTTTCATCTTAATAATTCTGGGGGTCTTTTCTTTGTTTCACCTGCTTTCACGTTGATTTATCATTGCAACAGAATGCTTAGCAAGATATTGTTGTTGTACAGATAATGCTTGTATGGGGTCGAGCATTAAAAGAAATTATTGCCCTATATATCAAAACTTTTGTTCTTGCCCTGTTTCTTAACCGTGCCCACCAGCGGCTGAGCGGTAACGTCGCTGAACACTGGTAGTTCGGTCCGAGGTTCGGATCCCGCTAACGGGCTAGCTGCATGCGTGTTTTCGTGGTTTTTCCCATGTGTAACGTGTATACGAGCTAGTTTCCCTTAAAAAGTTCTCCACGAAGGCAACCCTCCCTTAAGGCAGATAGCCTTCGAGTGCTTTGCCGTAATCTAATAAACCAAACCAAACCAAACCTGTTTCTTAACCTGTAACTTAATGCTTAATTTAATTTAAACCAAGCCTGTAACTTAATGCTCGACCCCATACAAGCCCTTTCTTGTAAAAATACTGATGGATTGATTTATTTTCAGGGAAATATTCGTGGTGAATAAGTCCTCTGTTAAAAAATGCAATAGTATCACCTTAGTATTTGATTTCGACATTTTCGCACATTTTTTTTTTCTGCTATGAAATTAATCATACAATTCTTGCAAAGTTTGCTTTAGTCATGTATACTATATCGAGGCATATACTGTCTTCGTTATAGTTTTAAAATCTAGCTTCTAAAGGGGCGTATCCATTATCTTAATTAGTTTTTGAGTTGGTACGCTTCCTGTTTTGTGAAAAAAGCCATTATCTTATAAAACAGGAAGCTATCGCTAATATATGCAGCCTAGTATCATTTAGCTGACTTCCAATTAAAAGCCTTCCAGCTGATGAGCGGGTAAAGTCGCTGAACGATGGTAGTTCGATCCGGGCTCGAATTTCGGTGGACGGGCTGCTGCATGAGAGCTTTCGTGGTTTTCTTCGTGTGTAATGTGTATACCAGCTAGATGCCCTTATTAAGTCTTGCATCCGTCCCTCTAAGCCAGATAACCCTCGAATTGCCTTGCCTTAACCAGTTAAATCTTCCATCTAATAACAGGACATCATGCAATGAAACGATCAAATACAAGACCAAACAAACAGAACTATTTGATAACAATATATATTTCTCAGTGATGCTTTGATATTTAAGAAAATATTGAAAATAAGACTTGGATCATAGTTTTACTCATCAGTAATTGTATTCATTCGGTATCAGCTAAGCTTTTATTGTTGTTTAATTTATTTGATACCTAACAAAAATTAGATGGCTTCAGAGCTTCATGTTATATGTCCTTGGAAGGAAACAGTCTCGAAATCAAATCTAAAACTAAAGCCAAACCTTTTTCAGGCTAAAGCAGAAAATCTGAATGATCCCCGGCCAGCATGTTATTGCACAAGGATATGTCTTGCGTCAAATATAAGAGAAGAAATCTGCTTTAATCCTGTTAGCTTTTCAATTATGTGGCTATCAGACATGTCAAACCTAGAAACAACCGCAAAATTTCCTACAAATATGCTATAGAAGTAATTCGAAAAGATATTGGTAACATTTTACCTCTAGAAAAGTTGAATGCAGAGATCAAAAACCATATTATCTCCAATATGAGCGAAAATGGGTTTCTACTTGGTTGCTCACTCAAACTGTAGATTGAAGACGGTTACCTAATCACCTAAGAAGAATTCTAGAAAATATTTATTGACTTAAAGTTGCGGCATTGTATGTGAATGCGATCAGCCCTTAATGCTCGCTAGTTATCGCGGGGTACTAAATTGTCTGTTAAATAAGCGGAATATATATAAGGGTGTGTCTCTGCTCATTTGTTTATTCAGGTCAAATACTAGAATCTATTTTTGATCCAGTTCCCCTGTACAAGGAAAGTCTTCCAAATCTGAAATCTCGGTTTTTCTGAAAAGAAAATATACTTGAATCTGCACATCGAGAAATGTATAATAGTAAAATGTTTTAGTTGCTAACATTCTATCAATAAACAATTTTAAAAAATGTGAAAAATAACGAGATTTGGCGGTGCAGCGCTTTATGGCAACTTTGAAAATTCAGTTTTGAAAACTTGGAAATTCTACAAGTTAATCGATTCATGCAACGAAAATATAAAATAATGAATAACGAAAAGTTAGCAAAAATTACGTACAAGGGTGAGTCCAAAATGCAGTCGGACATTTTCTTATAAATAATAAAAAGATTACTAACCTTCAGATAAATTTATGTCCTTCAAAATAATCGCCAAATGAGTCTATAAAATTTTCTTAACGTTCCTTCGGGTCATCAAAACACTGTTCATAGCCATTGGAACTAATTGTTTGCAAAATAAGTTTAACATTTGGTTTAATAACCGTGACGTTTTGAAGTTTCTGTCCTTTTATAGCCTTCTTAAGCTTCGGAAAAAAAGAAAAAATCACTTTGAGGTAAGTGGAGAGAATATGGTGGGTGATTTATTATTGCAGTTGAATGCTTAGCAAAATATTGTATAGATAATGCTTTATGGAGCCGAGCATTATCGTGTAAAAGAAATCATTACCAGGTATCAAAACGTTTCTTCCTAACTCGCCTTGTTTTGTTTTATAATCGAAAAGCTCTTTTTTGTAAAAATACTCATTAATTGATTGATTTTCAGAGCATTGCTTATTTTTTATATCTCCTGCTTCGAAATAACCTAATGTCTCTAAACGTTTAACTTCTGACTCTAAACTTTTGACTCTCGAAGGAATCAGGAATGCGAAATCTTCCTTCGAATATCATTGACTGTTCGGTAATGCGCTTATGATGGTAAGGAAAGGAATAATGATCGATGGACGTATTCTCCTACACGTTTTCAACAGCGGATCTGAGACCGACAAGGGAGATGGGGATGAGGTCTTAGAAACTTGTGTAAGAGTTTTCAGAAGTGCATATGGATATGTTTTATTTATGGACGAAAATGCTTGTCCATATCGAGCAAACTTGGTTAACGAATTCCTTGAAAGTGAAGACATTGAGAGAATATCGTGGCCAGCAAAATCTGCTGAACTTAACCAGATAGAAAACTTATGAAACTACCTTGAAAAACCAGGTTGATCGAAGACATCTTCCTTCTAGAGATGTAGAGCCCAGAAAACCGCACTGCTGAAGGAGAGAGAGACTAGATTTTTCATTTGTGATTAATAACGTTATTAATAGTATGAAAACACTTTGTGATATATGTATACAAGTCAGGGGAGATAACATTTCATATTAAAATCATAAGCCTGAATTTTTTTCAATTTTTTTACTGAATTCTCCAACGTATTATTACCGCTTTTATTGTTTCATGCTATAGTTTTATATCATATACAGTGCTCTCAAATTTCTTTGTGTTTACGTATTATGATGTTACGTATCATTCCAGACAAATTCATAAAATTATTGTCCACAATTCGTAATTTCATGTATGTAAATCCGCGAAAAATCGGTGATTTCATGCATGTAGAGATAATTTTGGATTGGAGTGCACATAAGGATAAAAAAAATTGGTTCAGGTGAATAACTGAAAATATACAAATTTAACTATATTTGGCAATACAGAGATGCTTTTGAGATTTCATGAAATTTTAAAATTTCATCAAAACGTTTCATTATTTGCAATCCTATTCGTTCAAAAGTTCTCCATTGGCGATCAAAAATTTCATGTTAAATAAAAACTTTATTTTTTCAGATAAAGTAGCTAATTCTTTTACTGACATGTGTTCCTTCAAAAGTTGATTAATATATATTTTTGAGCAAAATTAGGAGTTCAAGTTTGAAATGCCCAATTGCTTACTTACAAAATATTTCTTCACAATTACTTTCTAATTCGATATTGATTTATTATTTATCACGTCTTTTTTAATGATGAACAATTTTTTTTTCAAATTTTCTCACGTATCTTTGTTTAACGGTGAAACTAATCATCGAAGAACTTCGATCTTTGCCTTTTTAAATTAATTTTTCGGATCGAAGTTTATTTTTAATCTCTGAAATATTTTACCGATTTTTTTTTAAGTTGATGGATAGGTTGTCTTAAATAATAATCTTAGTTCTGGTAGAAAGGATACGATTTTAAATCAAAATTAAGAGCAATTCAAATAAACTGAAAACAACCCAACACAATCTAATGCATCGTCGGACGATTTAAAGTAAAGATGACGTCATATACTTACTTTGTTAGATTGGTTATAAGAAATAAATTTCTTCTATTCGCATGTAGGAATTTTCTTTTTTATTATTTTCCCTTCTGTGAACTAAAATGCATGGATTCGTAAATTCGTATGTATATATATATATATACACACGCACACACAATAATTTAAGCTCAGATTTTTCTTGCCATTATTATCAATGACTTCTTGCCAGCGTGAGATTTGTATATCCCATTTTTTTTTAAAATGTTGTATCTTTTGTTGCGAAAAATTGACGGTGCTTTTTTGATATTTTCGTCATTTTTTAATTTTTTGCTCTTCAAAAAATTTTGTAATGGCAAAAACAAGGGATTGTCGTAGAATGCTAAGCCGGGAAATATGGTGGATGCAACAGAATTTCCAGCCTAGTTCTGCAATTTTTTGACGAGTCCCCAAAGCAGCATGTGGCTTGGCATGATGATGATTCAGCAGGATGTTATTCCTATTGAACATCGCCAGCCTCTTTTCTTGGACTGCTGTCTTTAAATTGTCCACTTGCTGACAATACTTCTCCGAATTGAGCTTTTAGTTCGATTTTAAAAGCTCATAATGTACTGGTCCTCGAATGCCCCACCATATACACAACATTCTCCTTATTCAGGAGCAAATTTGTTTTGAGGAGGGAGGGCTAGGTTTTCTGTGCCATTTCTCTTACGATGTTTCCGCGGTGATCCACTTTTCATTCCCAGTTATCATCCGGTTCAAGCAGGGCTTCATTTTGTTCGGAGCAAGCAGAGATGTGCATATGACGACCCGATCATCCAAACTCTTCTGACTTAATTCATGTGGCACCCATCTTGAATATTTTCACACCAATCTTATCTTCCGAAAATGGTCCGAAATGGTTTGCTGAGCTGAATTAAGGTTTTTTGCGATCTCTGATGTTTTTAGAAAAGGATCTTACTCCAACATGGTTTTAAAAACATCATCGTCGATCAAAGATGGTCGCCCAGAACGTGGCTTATCAGAAAGGTCGAAATCACTTTCGATATCTAAAACTGCGGTAGGTAATGTTGTCAACAAGAAAGGGAAAAATTGTCTAAATTCACCTTCAAATGGAAACATTGTTCTAAATACGTATCCAAGGAAAAAAAACGGAGGGCTTTGAATGTTGCAAAAGTAATATTTTTAATGTTAAAAGAAAATCCGGCAAGTCAAAGGACAGTTTCAAAATCATTAAAATGCTCAGTGTCAACTGAAAACAAAGTAATTAGTGCTGATTTGAATCGTAAAAAGGCAAAAAAAGAAAAAAGAAAAAAAACCTAATGTGCATCGTGCATCTTTTTTTTTTTTTTTTTTTTTTTTTTTTTTTTTTTCCCAAGACATATAGACGAATCTTGGGTATACTTAAATGAGTGCAATAAAAAGAGATCCATTTATTATCATTAAAAAGGAGGCAAGATCTTAAAACAAGGTTCAAGGAATCTAAAGAAAGTTTTTCTGATGGATTTAAGATTGTTGCTGGCTTTTGATGTAACGGCAAATACAAATTAAAGAGAGCGCAGAAAACTGTTAAGGTCAACTCCACAAATTATCAGGAACATATTGTTATACCCTATTTTCAAATACGAAATACCTTCTCTTTACCCATAGTGTCATCACGCAGTAGAACGGCATCAAGACAAAGCGAGCAGCGACTAGTCAAAATCGGCTGTTAATTTTCTGGAGAAATTGGAACAAGAAACGTATATCAAGGCCGTAACCCTTCAGTCATATCCTACTAAATCTCCTGATCTATCACCACTGTATTTTTGCGCTTGGGACTTTTAAAAAGCGGGTTTTCCAAGCATTGACTTACAACCTCCTTAGGCTTGAGAAAGCTGCTCGAAGAGCAATGGGATAAAATACCTCTTCCGATACTATAAAAGGCTTTATTGTCTTGGAAACTAGCGGTGTATAAAGATAATGAAGAATATGGGTTATCAAACAGGACATTTAAAACATTTGTAGGTAAAATATTTCAGTAAATTAGAATGAAAATCGTGTAAAAAATGTGCTAACATCCTCTGTAATATAACAATCATTTGCGAATTTATGGCTTTTAATCAGTTTGTAAATTTTGGCTAAGAAAACATTCAAAGCTTCATGCCCTTTACATTAAAATAGATGTTTTCGTTTTATCATTAATTTTTGTTTTCTATTTCATCATTTTAACATATTTAATTGAAAAAAGTTCTTTCTTTTATTTTTAGGGAAATTTAAGATGAAGGGCCATTTTTCTGTATTTGTGCTTTGTTCTTTACTGGAAGCAGCTTTAGCCTTCATGTCTCGGGTAAGAAGAATTACTCTTTTACATGCATATTTTACTAATTTTAGAAAAACAATCGTGAAAGAAACGTCATATACTAATGCTGATTTTATATGGATCGCATTAATGACAGCGTTACTCTACGAAAACCTCTTTCATCGATGTAGAGGTATTGGTGAACGGCAGCGTTTTGTCTAGGCAAGAATTTTTTATTAAAGTGATGTTCTCTTATAATCTGTAATCGCTATTAAATGTACTTTATAAAAGAATTAAGATTAATATCACAGTCACTGCATAATCATTATTATTAAGTACCGAAATATAATTACAGATGAATTTTCTGGATACTCGTATACAGTATTTCATCTAACTATGTGATGTTATAAATATCTGTAAATATATAAAATTTGTATTGTATTGTTTTTTATATTGTTTTGATATTGTGTATTGTTTTACTTAGTTTTTTGCTTAATTGTTGCTTTTAGAGTGATAATGTTAGGGTTCATTTTGTGTTTAATCAAATTTGTGACCACATATTTTCTATTTAAATCTTTATTTCTTATATAAAATTATAGTGTGTTTAATTATGAGTTTGATAATGTTTAAATCATAAAAATAGATGCTTTAAAACCCAAGATATGCACAAGTACGCTTCTGGACAAGTCTCGCCGACAATTTTTGTACAGCTTTGGCCAAATGTCAACTTGGCTACAATTTTTGTTGCCAGGTCGACATTTTGAGATTTTTCGACAACTTGGCGACTTTTTGGAAAATTTGGAAAAGCATATATTTGAAGTCCTACGACCTATTTTTCTTAAAACTTTAAAAAGTCAGTTCTACACTGTATAAATAGGGTTCCGAGAAAAGGAGCATTCTGTAACATTTACCTGTGAGATTTAGTGGTTCAAAGAGAGCTTTGCAATATAGAGCTTCCTCGGAGATTGATTTCGGAAACTGGCGATATTTCTCATGCGCTAAGGAAGAATTGGTTAAAATCCGTGATCTCCGGGAGCTATTTACAACTATTTATTTTACTGTGAGGTCTGTAATTTTTATAATAAATTGTTAATTCTTCCCTCCATATCTTGAATGATTATTTAAAGATATATCAATGAACCCGTTGCCGGCAACAATATATTATTATGAACTATAACATAAAATCAAACAAATTTGATAAGCAAATTTTTTTGATCGCAATCTTCTCTTTATATTATATTCATTGTAAGGAATTTTCTTCTTCTTTACTACGTCTTCTAATTGTTAACATGTCCGTTTAGCATCAGAAGGTCAGAAATTCGAATCCCGGCGAGGATATTTCTGATTTTTTATGTTTCCTGCTCCCAAACAAGCTTAATGATTCTGTAATTTCATTTGCTAAATTCAATATATACTGCCTTCCATAATGTGTTTTTTGTGTCTGATTTGAGCAACATAGAAACAAGAAATTTACAGGATATATTCACTAAACAGTTCTTTAATGAATGCAACATAGAATGTTTCTAAAGTTCAACACAAACATGAATTACAACCAAATTTAAACTCTTGGCAGAGAAATCCAGTCTTAGAGAAGCAGTATATCACAGTTTTTGAGAAAAAATGGGGTGGTAACATTACTAAAATGGATTCTAATAAGGAATGTGTCCACCCCTAGCTGCAATACATTGGCGGCAGCGACGTTCCATGCTGTCAATTAAGTTGTCGGTCAGTGAAGTGGGAAGCAACGACCAGGCACGGAGTAATCTTTGTGCAAGCTCATTTAACGACTTGGAAGAGGTCTTAAAGCAGCAACCTGTTTCCCAAGGTAGTCCCAAAGATGCGGTATCGAATTCGAGTCTAAGGATTGAGCTGGCCATTCCATCCGCTCTGTACCGTGACCCTCAAGATATTCTTCAGCAGCCCGAGCTCGGTGCGGTCTCGCATTATCGTCCATCAGAAGAAATACTAGACCAATAGCAGCGGCATATGGTCGGAGATATTGCTCAAAGATCTCGTCTCGATATCTCACACCGGTCAAAATTCCTCTATGGAACACATGCAGATCAGTGTTACCACCGAGAGAGATCCCAGCCCAAACCATTATTTCACCACCTTTGTAACTCTGTCTTTCCACAATGTGGGATTTGTTATGTCTGTTGCGTTGTTCCATCCAAATAAGCTAACGACCTGAAACACTCTCCAATGTGAACCTGGACGCATCTGTAAAGAGAACGGACTCTCATTGTTGACTGGTCCAGGAGACGTGCTCTCTTGCCCAATATAAACGGGCACCTCTTTGTCCTGATGTCAAGGGAACACAAACAACTGATCATCTTGCATACAAACTTGTATTGTACAGGCGTCTGCGTACTGTAGTAGCTAAACTTCTTCTTCCTATCGCCACTAAATTATCTCTCATGAGCTGAGGCACAGTAATGTTGCTCCTCCTTCGGGTCGAAAGAGTTAAATAATGGTCTCCCGCAGGTTGTAATTCTAGATCTGCCTGGAACATGTTTTCTAGACACAGAATCCTCGGATTCAAACTGATTCCATAGTCGGTGGACCACACTACGAGAGAAAATGAGACGTCTAGCAGCATCAGCTTGTGACAGTGTCCGCCGATAACATCGCTGCAAAATCATCGCGGGCGAAAACGTCGCGGAGAAAACAACGCAAGGCGAAAACGTCGTGCTACAAAACATCGTGGAAGAAAACATCGCAAAGAGAAAACATCGCAAAAGAGAAAACATCACAGTTCTAAAACATCGTGGTACAAAATATCGTCGTCGAAAATAAAGCGGTTCAAAAACTTCGCAATTTAAAAACATCGTCATCGAAAATATCGCGGTAAAATATAAAGTATCGACAAATCATCGCAGGACGATAACATCGCAGACCTGCTTTTTTCAAGCTTTAATAATTGTAAATGGATATTCCCATAATGATTTGTGAGCGCGAAATGGAAAGAAAGATAATTTTTACTTTCATGTTTGTTTTTTATTAACTAATAAATTTTTGCTAAAAAAGGAAGAAGGAAACTTAAGAATTAACTGAAGCAGAACGAGAAATAATTTTCATTATAAGAGTATTAGATTGACAAAAGTGAAGAAAATAATCTCATAATTAGCAATTATTTATAGATAAGATCACGCAGTTACGTAGCTCCTTTTTTCTAAACATTTTTAGATTATACTTTTAATGAAAAATTATCAGTAAAATCTTTTCCAAAATGATTTATTAATGACCTGTTTTAGTTAACTATGTCAGTTTAAAATTCTATTAAGTGCTATAAGTTGCCTTAATTTTCTATGCTTACATTTCCTTCTTACTTTTTCAGCAAAAATTTATTAGTTAATAAAAAATATGAAAGTAAAGAGTATCCTTCTTTCCATCTTGCTCTCACAAATCATTATGGAAATATCCATTTACAATTAGTAAAGCCTGAAAAAAGCACGTCTGCGATGTTATCGTCATGCGATGATTTGTAGATACTTTATTTTTTACCACGATATTTTCGACGACGATGTTTTTAAACTGCGAAATTTTTGAACCGCTTTATTTTGGACGACGATATTTTGTATCACGATGTTTTAGAACTGCGATGTTTTCTCTTTGCGATGTTTTCTCCCACGATGTTTTGTATCACGACGTTTTTGCCTTGCGTTGTTTTTTCCGCTACGTTTTCGTCCGCGATGTTTTCGGCTGTAACCACTTGTGACACCCCCATTTCCATCCATCGGATCGCCCGCCACCTCACCGAATCGGGAAACGATTCGGTGAGGTGGCGAAACGAACCGAATCGGGCAAACGAAACGAACTGTTATAACAAGTGAAGATCAACACTCGGGAACAAAAATTACAATTTTTGCATTTTTCTCCTATATAAGTATTCATTTCTATAAAATAAAAGTGGTAGTTATTATTTTTGTACACATTTTCTTAAACTTCGCTACTGCTATGAATATGAACTGTGAATTTAAATGTTACTGACATTTTTGTAACGGTGAGCTTTAAAAAAACATGCTGTTCCTTACCTTTTGGAGGACAGTGTATTATGAAAACTGCTGGATTAACTGAAATTCACTTTTTTTAAGTAAATTTTAATAGAAAGATTTTGCTGCATAATGTTAATAAATGATTGCTGGAATTAGTTCTACATAACAAACAGTTTAATATATATATATATATATAAAGAAAAATGTGAAAATTTTAAAATAACGAAACATACTAATATGAAGGTAATGGTAAAATGAAATATTTAAAGTAAAGCGTAAATGAGAGTGTCGAAAGTCTTATCATATCTATGCAAAACAGAACTTGTTTAATAAGAATGCAGACAATTAATTTTAGAATCGAGTCATATAAGACTATGCATGTTAATAGCATCTTAATTTTGTTGGAGTATATTTGTTGTAGTACGTGTTTAATATATAAATGACGATTTATTCTGAGTTGAGCAGTAATATTTCTGCTTATCGAGAAATTTCTTGAAAAGTAAAACCATTTAATTAACGAGCAATAACATTCGTTCTTAAATGATAGCCATATGAAAGAACTTTGAGGATCAAAGTAGCAAAGCATATAATATGGGGCAACGCTGAGCTCGTAAACAGTTAATAAAAGTCTTTTCTTCCCTTCAAATGATTAACAAAAGGAATTCGGGTAATAAAAAAATATAGCAATTACTTAGTTATCTATATAACTTCTTTAACCGTTAAATTATAAAACAACATACAAAAACAGTATCTTTTGGTTGACCGAAATTTTATCTAAAATTAGCGAAGCAACAACCTTGTGTGTGACGTAGATTTAGTCAAGAACTGTATCAGTTTTGAAGGCAAACGGGTACAAGTCCTTCATCAGGAACATAATTCTATCTATTTTATTTCTTTAGACAAACATATTTTAAAACTTGTGCATTCGCACTTGTGTTACAATTGAAATGGATTTTTTAAGATAAATTTTGCTCTTTACATATTTTAAACTTTTAAAATAAGCTTTGTATAGAACGTCCCTAAATTTCGGAGTAATAACTAAGAACGTTATTTTGGAAACAGTGAATTATTATGTAATTTGTTTTATTCCAAGATGAAGTTATGTTTTGAGGAATAAGAACACGTTTCTGTTTATATTTGATGCATACAATAAAGCGATTTATTATTTGGCTTATGAATGTGAAATGTTTAGATTTTAATTTATTTATCTAAACTAATTTTTTTTTATATCTATGAAATATGTTCTTTCGTAGGAAGCAATGCTTGAAAGCAGAAGCCGGTTTTTTCGGAGGTAAATATAGCTTCATCGCATAATTGTTTCTCTTGACAACATATCATAACTTTAAAAATATGTATAAAACTGAGATACTGTTTATGATTTAATTTAACTTAATTTGCATTTTTATGTTTTACAAACTTTTGTCTGTATTCTGTGTGAAATGTGCTCTGAAGTTTAAGTTATTTATTTAGTAATTTAAGATTGTTATATACAGAACATTCCAAAAGAAACTTTTAAAAGTGACTTGATTGGACATTTTTTTTTTTTTTTTTTTTTTTTTTTTTTTTTTTTTTTAAGTTGCGACGTCTGTGTAAGTCATCGCCTGTTACAGGGTAAAACACAGAAACAGTTAACTACTTGATACGTCAAATGCGTCAATAAGCATCTCATTATTAGCCCAGAAGGGCTATTAGTCTCGAAACGCAATTTTGCGATGAATCACTTAAATGCGATGTATCAATTTTCAAATTGTTGTCATCAAATATTATAGCCATGTATTACACTAAAATAATTTCATAGCTAATGTTTGCATCATTAAATAAAGCAAACAAAAGTTCATTGCTAGGTAGCGACAATATTATGAGCGGGGCATAACCAATATATATATTCAGTGAAAGCAAAAGAGAAGGCCATTTCGGGCATGGTAACACAGGGGTCTTAATAGTATTCGCCCTGAAATGCTTCAAAGAATATAATTTTTTTTTATTTGTTGCACAAAATACGAAACCATTAAACATTTATTTTGTCAACAGTAGATTTTGCTGACTGCAAACATATATAGTATATAGCTGAATAAAAAGTAAATAGCTGAATTTAAGCGTAGAAGATAGATCCTTAAGTGATTGGTTATGGCTTAGATCTTAAATTCCGAAACCTTTGTAATGTGAATGATTTTATGATTATATCAATGGTAAGAATGGTATTTAAGCTCTGCGTTAACGCAGTATAAATTTAGAGATAATGAACTTCCATTTAAATATGTAAATGTTCCTGAATGCTAAATGCTAAATGCTAAGACTGAAATAGTTGGCGGATCATGGTTGTCCTGTAGCTCGAAAAGTATATCAATAATTTTCAGATTTCATAGAATACGAAAGAAAAGCTCAGTGTCATTCCACCTCAAGAAGAATTACTGGTGTGTGTGTGTGTGTGTAAGCGTCACATTATTTTATTTTTTATTTGTTTCCGGGGTTGTAATATCTCTAGTTTAATAAAAACTTTATTTATCCAAGATTTATTTTCTAAAACCTGGATTAACCAAAGCGGTATTCGAAATAGCTGATTACTATTTTTTAGTCAGCTATTCTGATTTCACCAACTGTTTTAAGGAAGATCAATTTTAAACCTCGTCTACTTTAAACAACATATTTCTGAACCAGTTTATCCCAAAGTCTGCGACTCCGGCATCAGCTCATCTACACAGAGTTATTCGTTGCTGGCGATACATGAACAAGTTACCGAGTCCAAAGAATATGTATATAGATGTTCTTTGCCGGAGCTTACACCTGGAGGACAGTAGGAGTGATATGAGCAAGACAGCGAACAAGTTGCCAGCAACTTAGTCCTCCAATACCTAATAAAACTGGTATTGGAATCACGTGTCCGAAGAGGAAGGCGGCTACTGGATCAATGTTTTAGTTATTGCAAAAAGCACCAAGCAGCATATGTTACTAAATAACATAGTGTGGTGCAAAATTTTTTTCATTTATTTTACCAAACTTAATTGAGGATGCGATATTTATTTTGGATTTGATTGATTTCCTCATTAAATGGTAGCTAAGAATTATTTTGTATCCTTGGTATAAGAGCTTTTTTATTATGACTTGTAGAGTGATGTGTTTTTTATTATGACTTGTAGAGTGATGTGTTGATTTATTTCTTTATAAATGATAGCTAAGAACTGTTTTGTGTCCTTGGCATAAGAGCTTTATTATTATGACTTGTAGAGTGATGTGTTTTTTACCTCATTTGTTAGAAATAACTAAACCTGGTAAACTACTGTTTCGTATTTAAAGTCTGTTACATTATTATAGTCTTAATTTCTGAGAAATCTTAGAGACAGGAAACTGGGATTAATCTTAGAATTTCGTTCCAGTGCCAGATGTTTCGCTGTCCATACATTTTACTGTGTGAAAAATTTTTTACAGCTGTTATAGGAAACTTAAAAGCTTGCATGCTCGTAGTTCTTTCCTGTAACTATATTTTACTGCAAAAATGTATTCTCAGAGCAAGTTTATTGTAGTGTTCTAAGTTTTAGGTTTTGAAGCTACCTGAAGCTTTCTCAAACAAAGTGAAAATCTTTATTAGGAAAATTTGAGTTTAATGTGTTTATGAGATTAATACAATAAAAAACATAAAATCCTATATTTCCAAGAAAAACCAACGATTAAAAGTCTCGTAAAAGAAGTGTAAATATTCATTATTTTTCTCATTTTTCTTTAATTATTGTCCAATTTCATAATAAATTTAAAACAAACTTCCTGTGCAACTTTCACGCTTTTTATGAAACTCGAAACTTTTAATACATTTATTATGCCCTGTCTCATTTGATACAAATATAAAAAATAAGATATTTGAGTACAAACAGGCGGAAAAATTCAAATTAAGAATTTTAATGATGTGAATCGCCTTATCTTGACATCGCACTTTTGATATTCTGTTTTCAGGTTGAGTCCTTCTTATATGACTAGCGTAAGAGACTATGAAGAATATGCCACAGTCTACATGGACAGACATGCAAGAGATTACTACAGTAGCGGCGCTGGAGAGCAGCAAACCCTCAAGGATAACGAAAAAGCTTTCAAAAAGTAATTTCCCCCACAATTACGTCTTATTATTATTATTGCATCTGTTTACTGAATTCAAAAAATGATGTGGTAGTATATGTAATTTGGGTTAGTGCAAACTGCAAGAACATTTACTTATACAATTCACATTGGAATAATTTATGTTAAATTTAAAAGACTAAGTAAATCCAGAGTCATAGCTAGGGTTTTCAGCGCCCGGGGACAGCTGAATATTTCGCGCCCCCTTCTGTTTGCTAAAATGGAAAATATTTAATTCTAAAATTTCATGACATCAGTTTGGCTTCCCCTTGATGCTACGCCCAGGGACAGATGTCTCTCCTTGCCACCCTGTAGCTACGCCATGGAGGTAAGAAAGGAAGGAGTGGCCAACCGGCACTAGAAGTGAAGCACTGCTTCGAAGCTTCGGTCACCAGATGGGGTGTTCTTTGTTTACATTCAGAAGCTCGCTTGACAGTGTTCTGATAGTATTTCGACACACGCCAGTTCCATACAAATGGGAAAAGGGACACTTTCGCATGAAAGAAACATTCATAGTGTGATGGATAATAGAAATTTGTATAGTTTAGTGACATTTTCGCAAAAATCACATCTTGGTTATTTTTCGATAACTAACAACAGCTATTTTGATTATGAATTTGTTTTATAAAATTCTAAGCTGTTGAACTACAAAATATAAATTTTTAACAAAAATGTTATGCTTAAAGAATGAAAAATACCTTACGGTACCTTTAAAATTGTATACGTCTTTCGATACCCTTGATAGAGTATTCGCTACTTTTATTTTATGTTCCAAACGCCAAAATGTTTTAAATAAAATAAATTTTTTTTCACATCCATATATTATTGTAACATGTACCTTTTAAAATTTTTTAGAGAGGCTTTACTGCTGCTCATTTTAAACTCATCATTTTAATTTTATATATCTGAAAAATAATCCCTTTGGGCTTACACGTTTTACTTATTTGGATTAATTAAAAATAAAATATAGTGAATGCACATAAATTAAAGGTTTGCACATGCCGGAAATGAAAAATATGAAATATGTATGGGTATTTATGCATGTGCGTGCAAAAAGCATGTATCTGCCTTTAACAAAGTACATAAATATTCATTAAACTGTTTATACATTTTTTGAAATGAAGAATTTATTCATTTATAAACTCCTGTTAAAGTTACTGTGAAGAAATCTAATTATTAAATGTATCTAATTTATAATGATTATAAATGTTATCTAAATATATAAAAACCTTAATATTGAATTGTAAACATAAATTGAAGTCCTGTTGACAAATACGTTATAAAACTATTTAAGCAAGAATTGTTCGTACTGCAAAGCAATCTGTTAAAAGGTATTGATTGTAAAGCAAATGCTATGAGATGCGCACCTAAGAAAGTAACAAAGAGTTTTGGAATATGTATTGTTGAAATTAATGGTAAAAAAAATCTGATAAGTATCATTAAAAGAATTATTCCCCTTACATTTTATAATAACTCAGTTACAAGTTTTAAATAATACTTTAAAAAAAATCCTTATTTTATTCCCTTTCAGAAATGTTCAGAGAAAGTTAAGTACTATTTAAAGTATTTCGCTAATTTCTAATAATTCTCTAATTTAAAATGAACCTATTAGAGCATTAATTATAAATTGACTTATATTTTTCGATTTAAAAGATGCCTCAGAAGCCAAAAAATCCTGTCATATTTAAGAAAGTATTTTAGGAAGAAGCTCTATAAATAGAAAAGAAATAATGCATAATTTTAATATTAATAATACAATAAACTTTTATCTTAATTTTTGTACCTTAACCGAATAAAATCGAATTACCTTAAATTTTTTTCTAATGTAATTAACGAAAACTTGTGAAAATATTTTATTCAAATTAAACCATTCTGAGAAAACTGTTCTACGAAAAGTGTAGCATTTAATTCCTTTCAGAATGAAATGTTGTTTAAAAATATGTTGTTTTCACATACTTAGGACTCTGAAGTGTTGTAGAAAAAGAAAATATATACATTTATATGTATATTTACGACGTAATTACAAAATATTTACATCCGATCGCGTCAAAACCCATTGAACTTAATGGTAAATGACCCAATGTTTTGGTCACCACGTAGGGATCGCCGGTGCTTCAGAGCAGGGTACGGGAGAAACCTTTAGGGCTACTCCGTCTTTGAGCTACGCCTATGGAGTAAATCAAACTAAATCTTTAAACAGATCTTATAACTTCTATGGTGTAAAATAACTTAGAACTACTTTTCTTACAGCACCTAAGGCTCTACGCTGAAATAATATTAAGCGTAACGTGGCAACTTATCGCTCCTGGTATATTGTACATTAACTCTCAAACACAAGAAGTACACGTAGTATTGTCAAACACAAGATGTATACGCAGTACTGTCAAACACAAGAAAATATTCAAATGTAAAACTTAGTATAAACTTATTAGCCAAGATCTGAGAGTGTTATAAACTTAAAATTTTAGTGACTAAAATTTAATGCTTTTAATCAAACCTTAAAACTGACCACTTGCCTTGGCACTAAGTTTACGATGAGATAACAATAACATTGTAATTCGATTCTACAAACACCTGGTGTCGGGATCAAAAGCTAATTTACTTACAAAGGCTCGCCAAGTTCATCCAGATTTTTCACAATTCTGCAATCGGTTTTCATTGCAAAGCGATAGGGAAACAAAGTAGGCAGATTCCTGCTGTGCACCCGACAAGTCTTTCTTCAGCAGGGTAAAAAATCAGGTGCGAAGTAAAGATGGTGCGCAGAGCAAGTATGTGTTATACTTTATAATGTGCTCATAAGCTGTTAATTCTCATAAGCTTATTTCTCTCAAAAACTCGGAATTCACATAAGCTCATAAGCTCTTAATTCTCATAAGCTCATAAGCTCTTAATTCTCATAAGGTCATAAGCTCTTAATTCTCATAAGTTTATTGCTCTCATAAGTTCATTCCCATAAGCTTATTGGTAATAATATTGTTCTCATACAACGAAGGATATTTAATGATATAGGTCAATCTGCATTGGTGCTGTATTTAATGATAGAAAGATTTAATGAGAACGCGAAAATTATACTCAGTGCAGTGGACCCATCCAGGAATAGGTCATCAAATCTAATCCAAAATGTATAATCCGACTGCAACCAATTTCCTCTTTTATCATTTTTTTATTAGAAGAAAGGGATCCTAAGTATGAAACATACCCTTAAAATAAAACTACACTTGTATTATTTGAAAATGACTCAAAAATACATTTACAAATTTCTAGCCTGTTCATCGCGATTTGATTTGGGAATACTGCGATTCTGTTGAACTCCATTTGAAATATGTTGCTTGGAGATAAGGTTTTGTACCCGTTGTGAATGAAGGAATATCAGCAAAAGGTAGAATTTTAAATTTAAAGAAAAAAAAAATATTTTTGTTCAGAATTCTTCCGAAAATAAAAAAGGTAGTGTAACTCTGTACACCCTATGCTATGCGTTGGGTATAAAGTTTAAGGAAACAGTACATTATTTTCCTTTTTGAACTCAATGTATTTATATATTAAATACAAATAAACATAATACATTCATATAGTATTATGTATAATTCACATATAAATAAATAAAATAAATTCATACATTAGCTATAATTCATGTATAAATAACTATAATAAATTCATACATTAAATATAATTCATGTATAAATAAATGTAATAAATTCATATATTAAATATAATTCATATGTAAAAAATATATTATTCATGTATTTTTTTACCGTCCAGATACAGGATACGTCCTCGATTGCTGCGAAATGTTTCTAAAAGAAGTATGAATCTGACTATTCTGGGGCAGCCAGCAGGAATGCCTATTGGTTGTTCTCCTGTCGCATTTCAAAAGATGGCTCACACTGATGGAGAATTGGGAACCGCTAAAGGTAGGAGATAAAGAGAAACACGGAGCTATCTAAACTTTTACATTAACGTATTAACTTTTACATTTGAGTAGGAATATTTATTTCCGTCTTGAATCATCATTTTTATCATTTTCATTTTAAAACCACTTCTTATTTATACTGGGACAAAGATGAGAAGAGAAGAACAGATTCTGTTTTTAATAAAAGTTTAAATGTTCATCATTATGTATTTCTTGCAAAATAATATAGATATTTGACATACTTTTTGCAATATGTTTACAAGATACTTCTCAATATCATAATTTAATGCTTAAAATTTGTAGAGACGTTAGCTTGTTTGGAAGCAGGAGTCATGAAAAACGCGCCATGCCATCGCCGGGACTCGAACCACGGACCTCTCGAATACGCGCCGAGCGTACTGACCATTACACCACGAAGGCATGCTAAGAAGTAGGGAGAAGTATCTTAGAAATTTACTTATAATTTTTATTTCATTTTATTGAGTTAAAACTAATTCCTTACAAATTACAGTTTATTCTGCGTTACCCAACCAAAAATGTTCTATTCCAGAGAATGAACTAAATTCCATTGAAATGCAACTTTATGCTGGACTCTTCTTCCCTATACGTATTTATATACATCTCCGTCCTCCTTTCCTGTACGTAACGATCACTGAGTCAGCTATCTGTGTCAACGAGTTGGTGTCTTGATCAAAAATAAGCCATTGACAAATACAAGTTTAAATCGAAACAAAGTTTATTCAAACCCAGTACGTAGTACAGAAATTAAAACACAATATGCAAAATAAAGATCCCCTCCTGGCGATTTTAAATGTTCAGTTACAGTGCTTGCCTCTCAGTAATCAACAAAACATCGCGAAGATCTGTAAACACACTGGGACTAAACTTCCCATGCAACTATAACATGATGTAGTTACCCGTTAGTCAGAAGCTCTGTTTTACAAAATCGAACGCTTCTCATCAAGAAAAATTTAGCTGCTAACTGAATGTAATAACCACTATCCATCATGGACTATCACGTGGACATCTTCCATCAGCATGAGTTGCAATGCACTATCGCCCGCAATTGTCATTTAAACCTGCAAATCTTTTGCTGCGAGTGAATATTAGCAATAAAGTCATTTCCTTAATTAGTAATTGATTAAGTAATACATTTTTGGTTTGAAAGTCAGCCAACAAAAGATGAGACATATGCAACTCGAGCAATAACAATCAGCAGATCTTAGAAACAATTGTCAGAAAGAAAACACATTTTCTTAATGTGCATTGTACTTGCGGATTTTTTCAAAATGTTCCAATTTCTATTGTTATTGTTACTAATGCTCCTTTTCTTAAGATCAGGTCTGTGATTTACTCATGGCTAATAAGAAAGAGCTCTTATTATTAGTCAAAGCCTTAGACACTTTAGAACTAACGATACCACTTTTGCCCAAATCTGTTCCAATTTTGATGCAGAACACCCCATCAGAGGATTGGTTCAACGGTCTTTACTACCGGATGGCTCGAGAGGACTTCGGCTTGACTGTATTGTAAATGTTCCTGTGCAGCACTATGTATTTACAAGCATGTATATATTTACAAGCATATTACATACATTTACCGGCATACCATATATTAACAAAAGTACCATATATTTATAAGCATTTTTTGCATTCTTCGAACCTGCGCCCAACGAAATAATAGTTCGAACACTAAGCATCACACTGATTAGAATCTTTCAGTTTCTATTCATTTATATTCTGTTTAAGGTAGACTTGAAGACTAACTGAGATGTCATGCCATGTATGGTATACGTTGATTCCAATGTTTCAATAATCTCAAAGACCTCAGTTGTAATTGTAAAAGTAGTGCTCATCATGTGATTATATTTGATAATAATTAAATTTTGAATTACGCTGAGGAATAATTTCTTGTATGAAAATCAATGTTGCGATATTTTGAATAATGACCCTGAATTTCTTATTCATATATTTATTAATTCATGCATTTATAACCATAGCAATAATTATTCTGTAAATTTAATTCATTTTTTATAAAAGAATAAATTTGTTTATCAGGAACACGTGTATATAAAAGTCTGAAAGACGAAATTAATAAAACTTGTTTTCTGTATTAAGTATTGAAAATAACCTTCTTCAATTATATACATGTACTACTTATTTCAATCGCAAAAGAGTGATGATTCAGTAGTATAGCCTGTACAAACCCTTATCATTATAAAGGCTAACTCCTATAATACCAATAGAATTTATATACCATTCCATCTTGAACAGAGTGTTGTATCATTGCAAAAAAGCTTAATAATTTTTCTTGCAATAATGAATCTTTACAGCTGTCGCAGACGCTCGAGGAGTGATGATCATGAGCATGCTTTCTACAACAGCGATGGAAGATCTGAGGGAAAACACACCTCATGGCATCCACTGGCTTCAAGTTTACATTGCAAAAGATAGAGAACTGACTAGAACCTTAATACAAAGAGCAGATATCGCAGGATTTAAGGCTATTGTTGTGACAATTGACTCTCCAGTCAATGGTATGTGGGGGGTCAATATGATTCATAACCTCACTCTACCCACTCATTTAAGGTAGGTCAGACTTTAGTTTTATCACAAGGCTAAGTATTTAGCTATTATTTTTCCTTATCACTTTTTTTATTTCTTAACAATGCTTTAATTTGATCATAAATTTATTTCATTTGTTCCTCTTTTTGAAGTGCTCCTTTTTTGTGAGAAGTTTTTTTTTAATATATAGTTATATAGACCTAAGATTTTCTACAGAAAAAATCATGAAATGTCATTTGACGTACCGTTTGATTTTCAACTTTCAAGGAAGCACTAAGAAGGCAAGGGACAAATAGCAGTCCAGTTAAAATATGCTTACCACATGACACATGAAAGAAGCATCTCCCGTCGGCAAACCTGTCTGGTCAGCAGACTTCACTATCTATTCTAATCCTGCAAGCGACCTCTCCTCCAGCCACCATCCATATCTGAATCGAATCCGAGATAGAAAGCACTTCACCTTTTCTCTTCCTCGCATTCTAGTATATAAAACCGTCTGAATAAACTATCTCTGAGATAAGAAATGTCGATGTATAAATCAGGAAAACAGCTACGTATAATCGAAGTTATGCGTTGTATAAATGGTGTATTCTACTATTACCGGGAACAGAAATGTATCGATACAGGTATTGAAAAGTAAAAGATGTATAAATACAGAAAAGCAAAAGATATATAAATGAGAAAAACATATAAGCGATGATTCGTTCTATTTGAATTATGTATTTTGTAGAATTTAATACCCGCGAGAATAATGATAAACGTAATTTATGCTTATTGTTCTGTTCACATAAATAAACTTAACATATGAGCAGATGCAAATAAACCCTCTATATTTGATTCAAATGTGGCATAAAAAGCTTTTAAAAAATATTTTATATTTATTTTAATAGTTTATAATTTTAATTTTTTTAATAATTTATATATCTTTATAATTTATTTTAATAGTTTTAAAAGCCAATAGTTTAATTTTCGGAACGTAGAGGCAGGTATTAGATATTTATTGAGAAGAAAGTGGATATCTATATGTGCACTTTGGTACAATAATAAGAAATCGAAATGTAGAGTATATTTAGCAATGCAGCATCAAATTTTGTGTGTACTGAAACGTTTTAATTATTAAAATGAAATGTGATGAAGATGTCATGAGGAAGTCGAATCTGTTGGAATGGCATGAGGTGCATTAAAAAATAAAACGAGTGACCCCAAAAACAGGCACACAAGGATGAACAATTAATATTATCTCAGGAGAGATGTTATGGTCCGATTAATGATTAAGTATGAGATTGGTAATTCATAAAATACAATTAATGCGAAAATAGAATGTTAGTTTAAACTGAAAAACTAGGCGTAAGAAAGATTTCTTCCTTCAGTGATAGTGTGATTCCAGCCGAAAAACTTTCTGACGGAAATTTTCTAATATAATATAACTAATATCCAATAAAATATAAAAATGATACTCTTCCAGAAAACAGTTCTAGAGCTGCTTTTAGAAATGGGAACTTTGTTTGAATTAGAGCATTGATACATACAGTAAATATTCTGGACGGACGACGTGTATTTATAAAGGCTAATTCTGAAAATTAAATTTCCATATCTTGCATGAATATGGCATATTTTTGTGCTTAATTAACACTGAGGTTTTTGTTAGGTTTCACAGTTCTGGTTTGATTTGAACAACTTTGGTTATTATTTTTTTCAAATGAATAGAAGAATACCCTTCGTTAGAAAACTACGAAACTGACTTCAAAATTCACATCTATATTGATTGACCTTTACGGAATGTTATAAAAGCTTATTTTTTCCATAAATAAAGGGGTCAGATCATTGATTTAACATTCAATCATTTATATCTATTGTATGCTAGTATAAGGTGAACCCTAATCCATAATACCATGGCAAAATGTTTTTCTCATTATACCATTTTCTCGACAAGCTGTAAAAGTAATTTAACTTAAAGGGCTCTCTCTCAGATTTTTAAATGAAGTAAACTGTAAAATACAGTTTTACAGAACCATATTTGCCGACTGAGAAGGTTTAGGCGCAGGGTAGGTTCAATTAATTCGTATTCGCAGCTGCATGGATGATGGTGCTGCCATCTGTTAGTCATTTATATTACTAATTACAATTCATATTATTAAAAGATATTATCGCTGCTATTGAATGAAAAGAAAAGATATTTTTAAAAATAATAGAAAGTGACAAAGTAATACATATTCGAAATACATTAAAAATTAATTGCTAAAATTAGAACACATAATACATGACTAAATAATAATGGTAAATTTGCCGATGCAGGTAAAAATCAAAATTCCCGTCGGCAAACCTGTCTGGTCAGCAGATTTCACTATCTATTCTAATCCTGCAAGCGACATCTCTTCCAGCCACCATCCATATCTGAATCGAATCCGAGATAGAAAGCACTTCACCTTTTCTCTTCCTCGCATTCCAGTATATAAAACCGTCTGAATAAACTATCTCTGAGATAAGAAATGTTGATGTATAAATCAAGAAAACAGCTACGTATAATCGAAGTTATGCGTTGTATAAATGGAGTATTCTACTATATGTAATGCCTTTAGATAACATCACTTATAATAGATAACATCACTTATATCGCCTTTAGATAACATCACTTATATCACCTTTAGATAACATCACATTATCAAGTCTTTAGATTATAAAACATTAGCTCTGAGCTTCGACAGTGCAGTCGTATCCTACATACCCACGGAACTACGGGTTCAAGTAGCAGTATGATTTCAGTTTTAAGGATTAAAAACCAAAGAATGTTTCTTATAACTATTACAAAATGAAGAATTCATAATGCACTAAAACTATTCAAAATAATTAGACTATTACCAATTCTAAAATGCAGATTCTACCCGTATATTTTACTCGTGCATCTCTGAATTCTATATCATTTCGAATTTTTTTTAATTCGTTATTTTTTAAATCGACATGGTATTAAAAAACTTTTCATCATTTTAAAAACTCTTACATCACTAGTACTTTCAATGGATGATGAACCGTTATTTTACACAAAATGTGATAAGAACAAATAAACCCGTAAATGCGTATTTGATTTTGATTTAGAGATGTAGCTATCAGCAGCTCATAAATGTCAGATTCTAATATTTTTTCAGATGAAAGGAATCAGATATTTGCGTTAAATAAATAAGCATAACTGATGCTAGAAAATCTAATTTTATTGTAAATCTTAGACAGGTTTTGTTATATAGTTTTATTCTATTTAACTTTTATGGAATTCGTGTTCTTTTCTGTAGACGCTACAGAATTTTTGAATCAATGACATTTTAGAATAAAAAAAAAGACTATAAAAATAAAGTATACTAATTGGCAACTAAACGTAAACGCAATAAATAAATATAAATTTATTTATCATTAAAAGTTGACACGTGAAAAGTTATAATCCCAATGAATACTTTACAGAAAAAATTATGATAAGTTTCTTATCCTTCGAATAAACGTCTAGAATGAAAACGTACAAAAAAAAAGTGATACGCATAACTTTATCGATACTGATACGTATAACTGAGGTTATATATATCTTAAAATGAAATTATAAGTATCTGAACATAAGACTATACGTGTCTGAAAATATCTGTTACATATAATCTCTCGATAACTTGATCGATTTTATTTGTAGTGCATTTGTTCCGTCTTAGAATGAGTTTCCTGCATTCTATAATTTTTTTTTTTCCATTTCAATCTCGTCCCTTTTAATATGCAATATATCAGAATCTTTCATTTTGTCATTCATAAATTCTGAAGCTTTGATTAAATGGTATTCCTAACTGTTGCACAAATATGCAGGTATTTCTTATTGGTTGCACAAATAGGCAAATTAAATTATTTGAAGGTTCTAATATTTATTTTCAGGTTACCAAATTTGCAGCCCAAAGATGAAGTTCAAGGTGCAGGATCAAATTTGAGAACAAGGGTTGGATACTCTTTACTTGACCCTTCACTCACCTGGAAAGATATTCAATGGATACAGACTTTCACAGCTTTGCCAATTGTGGTCAAAGGTGTTTTAACAGGTAAAACGATTGGTTGAACTTTGCGTTTCGTCCCAAGAATTCTTTCTTTTCAAAGAAAATATAATATTTTTAATTTTTCATTTTCTGGAGAAATTCAAAAATGGATAATTATCTCCTATAATTTTTTTAAAATTATTTCCAGCATTTTCTTTTATAATTAATCACGGTAACAATAAAGCAAAAATGTAATAAACTCGTTTAAGTTGGTTGATTGATAGGTAAGGTGTTTTACCATATGACGTCGCTAGTTGTTGATTTAGGAAATCGTTTGCACCTGCTTTAGACATCTGCAACTCTCAGTCGCAAATGAGCTCTGTCTTATTTCATTATTTAACCTCGAGTAATTTCATTCGCAAATCATAAATACTACCTCCGAGTTGCATATAAAGCAATCTTACATAGACATTGGTTAGTTTTGACTGCCTAAGGGAATTTATGTCTAAGATATTGAATTTTTGTTTAAGGGAATGATGATTAATGCCGGCAAGAAACATGATTAATTAGGGTATTGTAAAACTTCATGGTCAATGAAGAAACGCTTCAGTAAAATCAGGTGCGAAGAACATGACTTTGTTTCTAATCACGACATTACAAAGCCGCGCTGCAGTCCACAAACAATAGGGACAAAAATAAGCTTGAAATTCACGCTTTTTCCCCACTATCCATTTTTCAATTTACAGTACGAAAGCAAAATAATAAGATGTTTCATTATAGAATATTCTTGTATTTACTTACCCTTTGAGAGAACTACAAAAATACTCATGCAATAGCCTCGACTTTTGAGTTAAGAGATAATTTTCTTGTATTCTGTGACTGCAGCCTTTGCGAAGACTAAAAAAAAAAAAAAAAAAACTCATGTAATAGCCTCCTGAGCAAATGGCTTTTGAACTGAGAGATAATTTTCTTGTATTCTGTGGCTGCATATAGCTACATCCATCGATCAGTGTTTTTCATCAATCGATGTGTTTATTATTTTGATTAGGACAAAGCACCAATTGAGCTACAACCCTTAATCGATGTTTTTCCGTCAATGCATGCCTATTGTAGGCGTGCACTGATAGAACACACTGCCATCTTAAAAAAGGGGGGGAAGAAAGAAAGAAACGAAAAGAAAAACGGGTCGAAAAAGGGGGTTAAAAAATGAAGAGTTAAAAATCTGGATTGCTTTCTTTTTCAATAGGTAGTTAAAATTCCAGTAACATCATTTTGTGTCAAAGTGTGTTATCTGATGACTTATTACTTGTATACTAGTGTGTTGATGTGAAATCATATAAAGTTAACTTTTGAGTCCTTAGCATTACTGATTGCAATAAATCTACATGTTTCAAGATTATAATGCCACATATATGCAAATTACATTTGCACTTCAGATTGCACAGTACAATTCTTTGTGCAGAGCTATACGTCATTGCTTCTATTCCTCTTCAAGATTTTGAAGATGATTCTTATGTCCTTAAACCACCTTTAAAAATTATGGGAAGTTAAGTTTTGATTACGTAATTTAAATGAATTTCTAATAAACTTTGGCACTTTTAACAAATAACCTGCACGCATATTTTAAAATTCGATGCAATAACTATCGTTACCTCTTACAGCGGAAGATGCTGTTTTAGCTGTTGAGCATGGAGCGTCAGCCATTTTAGTTTCAAACCATGGAGGAAGGCAACTGGATGGAGTTCCAGCCACGGTAAGAAAGTTAATGTGTACGTTTTTTTCGGGGGGCGTAATTTTGGAATTAGATTGAACAAATTTGCCATATTTTTTTTTCATAATCTCCGCTTGCGTATTAATTTCCCAACTTCCCGAACTTTCATTATGATCCAAAATCGCTGCTACTTAAAAGTATATAATTGTTCCAAAATCACTAATGAAAGAAGTTATTTAGATATCAGTATTAATATCACAACTTTAATACATTTTTAATTCGTAGCATCGAATCATACACACCCATTAATAAAATATCTGATTTGTTATACAATATATTCCCCCTTATACGAGCTCGTTAAGGAGAACTTTCGGTTAACATAAATAAAACTTCGATCCTGGCAATAATGTATATGATCTTATAGGAAGTTTTATCGGTTAATGCGAATTTCGGTTTGCAGGAATTAAGAACTGCTTATAGTCCTTTGCGTCGTTAAATCTTATCATTTAACACGAACTTTCAAAGTTTTTTCATACTTTTTTCTCTGTTGTTTCTCAATTGAAAACCTCACGTAATACCACTGTATCTTTTAAAACATAACCAGCATGAGTGTCAATGCTCGAAAATCGCGATCATTGTGTCGATGAGGAATTCTGAGGAGTTCGATTGTGCATATGACGATGCTGCCGTTCGTGCTTCAGTGGAATTTAATGTAGAAGCAGTTGTGTCTGAAGTGTAACAAGTGTCAAAGACAATATCATTCCTCCCACCCACAAGGAAATGTAGCACTCCTTGGACACTGTAGAACGTTTTGCTGCAACATCCGAATTAACCACAAGTTTTGAGGAAGTCATGAATACCGTTGGCCGCGAAGGTGATCAGTGAATGCATTTTTTTAAGTTGCAGTACGGTAATTAATGTAATAGTGTAGTGTTTTTTTATAACGACATACATCATAATATATTGTAGTATTATACATAACTATATGCTGCAAATGGTTTAATATGTAGAAAAAACATTATTCCATAAATAACATTTGAGTCCCCAGTTAACGCGTATTTTTTTAACACGAACTCTTAATTTTTCGGTCCCTTGAGATTCGTGTTAACGTGGTTTACTGCATAGTAAACGAACTTATCGTTTTCAATATCTCATATATAATTTCTTATTTGCCATGTTCAGTAAGTGCTTACTTTCAGCTTCCTTTTTCCATCATCCAGTTCCTTGAAAGACAGCAAGATGGAAATAAATGATGTAAAAACAGCACCGAAAAAGAAAAACAAATATTTTTCGTTTAAGTAAATGAATAGAAAAGTATTTTTGATTTAAATTTGTGATTTGTAAAGCTCACAATAATACAGTAATTTTTATACGTCAGTTCAATATCGCCTATAGATTAATACTGGCTTCAACAGCATACTTGCACTGAAGGGCATATATGGCAGAAGAGGAATACGAAGACATTTTCACATTTAAAGATTTTTTGGACAATGCCAGAAAGAATTTAATAAATATTGCAAATGAGCTATAATTATTTTTCATCATTCAGCAAAGCAAAACATTAGCCGCATAAGCATAGATTGCCCCAAAATTTATTATAAGATATTATCCACGGTTCCAATTTAACAGAGACGTGTTGTAATTGAAAAAAGCAGACGCAATTACAAGGAATTTCTTGGTACCAAGAAATTTAAGGATATGTTGGAATATCATCCTACATCAGAATCACCTTCATAGTTGTGCCCCATCATAAAAATGCCGTCACCTTTACGCAGACCGGCCACTGTTCAGAAAATCTGAGACTTTCACAAGAATGCGTTGCATAAAGATACTTATACTTTATGAAGATCAACAAGTTACTAACTGATCTCCTTTCCAGACTAAAGCTGTCTTTTCCAACAGTGCAAAAGGTTGACATCACCTTTAGGTATGGGCATCTTTATGAAGCCCTACATAAAACAACATTTACTATGTTGGAACTGTTGCCCCCAACTATTGGCAAAAAGCTAAAAACAGTTGAAATGTTATTTGTTGAAGGTATTGAAAATTCTTTGCCACCCTGCCAGCTAGATAGTTGTTGTTGTTGACTAATGCTCACTTGTCTGATATATAGTCAGCACAAGCCCATGAAATTCCTCGTGGCAAGGAGCGCAAGATATGCCTGTCGTTTGCAACAGCCTTGAACATCTAGGGAATTGACACCTTATAGGTGGCAATTCCCTAGGGAAACGGGTCCGAGGGTCTTCCACCCCTCTTTCCCTGCCACTAAACTCTGTAGAGGACTTTCGGCTCACCGCATATTTAGACTATGCTGCACGGACACTATATATTTACAAACATCCATGCCTTCTCCGGGATTCGAACCCGGGCCCTTCCGCACGGCAGTCAGCGACGCTAACCACTATAAGCTAGATAGTTGTCATTGGTATTGATTAAGATTTGTTGTGGATAAGTTAACAAAATGTATCTAATCTCCATTATGTCTTATATCCAGTACTATATCTCTTATTTTTGAGAATAGAAAGTAGTCACCTAACCAAGATAGAGTAATTTTTTTTCCCCACATTTATCTAGAACTAGTTACTCTTTTGCTTTTATTTTTATAAAAAGCTTTTAAATTAAATTTTAACTCTATAAAGGAAACATATTTGTTTCTCCATTTTAAATAAAAACTGTACATTTTCGTTATTTAAAAACTAGCTTATTTAATTTGATTTACAATTGTAAATGTTTATATTTTTCATAAGTTTGGTTTAACATAATCTAAATTATATTTCAGTTGGATGTTTTACCAGAAATCGTCAATGCCGTCAAAGGTAGAGCAGAAGTCTACTTAGATGGTGGTGTACGAACGGGTGGGGATGTTTTCAAAGCACTGGCTTTGGGTGCCAGAGCTGTCTTCTTTGGCCGACCTGTCATTTGGGGACTAGTACACAGTGTAAGTTCACCTTCCGAATTAAAAATGAACTATTTTCGAAAATCATGTGTACTTAGAAATCTGGGAAAAAAATCTTCTTCTTCTTTCCTAGGGCCAAGAAGGTGTGGAAGACATTTTCCGAATAATGAGGAGCCAATTAGATACCACAATGGCCTTGGCAGGTAACCAATGTTTTCAGCATAATATTATAAGATTAGAAACTCAGAGTTTGATTCAAAAAGTAGATATACTCACAACCTTTAAAATATTTCAATTAAAACCACAAATATTTCAATCAAAACAAAAAAGTGTTGTAGATGCTTTTGAATAATAGCTCTATACTATTCAAAATTTAAAACTTATTTTTTTGTCTTCCAGTTCGTAAACAACGGAGGACTAAAAATGATATTATTTTAAATAAATTTTTCTTGGTAATAAGGGGGAATTATTTAAAAATAAAATAGAACTTACAATGATAAAGGCATCTATTTGCTTAAAAAACATTAACATCATTTATTCAATGTTGCCGAAGTAGTATTTTATTATTGTAATATTAATGCTTAAATGATAAATATGGAGAGACTATAAATACGATGTGCAATTTAAAGTCACAAAAATGTCAACGTTATATACTGGTTAGTTTTTTGCCATTAGGCTGTACAGTGGGAATTCAAACACAAAATCTGGATTCCTTTTTTCTAAATGAAGGTCTAGCCAGCGATTCTCAACCGGTGGTACGCGAGAGAAAATAGGTGATACGTAAAGAAACAAAGTATTTTTAACAATTAAATTCAAAACTCTCCTGAAGAAAAAGAACAATTGATGGAAATTTCCTGTGAACGAACACTAACTGAAGATTTCAAAAATAACACAATTGTTAACTTTTGGCTGAACAGGAAAAGAAAGAATTTAAAGGCATTTCAAATAAAGCTATCAAATTTTTATTGCCTTTTTGCACAATCTTTTTATGTGAACAAGGATTTTCTTTCATGTTATATTTTTAAAATAAATACAGTAAAATATTTTAAATGCATCCTTATTTACAGTTAAAGCTAAGTGAAGCAAGGACCAGACGTAAAAAAATTGATCTTTCTTAAACAAGTCTAAATTTCATACTAATTTTAAATATTATAACTTAAATTTTGATAATTAAAATGTAACCAATTTTTAATATGTGCATATTTAATTCAAGTGGCGAATAGTTTGTGCAAATGGCAAAATTCAATTGAGTAATTGAAAAATAATCATTATAAAATGTAGTGGTGGTACTAAAGTTTTCCCATTTTTACTTACATAATAAGCGTTGGTCAAAAGGTTAAGAACCTGTGATCTAGGGACAAGACTTTTTGAAACATAGTCCTGCTGGGAAATGTTGAAACAATTTCATGAAGTCCAGCCTTGGAATCGCTCGAAAAACTGCTTATGTTTTTCAAAAGGTGATAGCTTTATTCTTTCATTGGGGACCATTTTGTAATTCATCATTGTGCACAAATTTTCCGTAGTTAGTTTGCCTGAGAACCCGCAATTTAAATTCACAAATTATGAAGAACAGTCAGGAATTTTAATCTTATAATTTATTGAATTATCAAGGACCATACTTATATAATTTTTAACATAGTTTCATTCACATATCATATGAGGTTCTCATCGCTTTGAAGCAAATATTTAAAATTTTCGTTGCAGTAACAGACACGCATCCCTAAACATAACTTTTGGTCTTCCATAAATTTTAGTGGGTTTTTATCTATAAAATAGCCGAAAAACGGATAACTTAGAACTTGGTGCTACTTTCGGCATATAGATAGCTATTTTAGATTTAACTAATGTTATGGGATTTTGCCCTAAGGTGTTGGTTTAAGTTAAGAAATGAAGAGTAGAAAAATTGCACTCACGGGCCGTTAAGACAAAGCATGAAAGCAAGTGCCGCCATCTATCGAAATAAGCAGATGGTAAAAGCTCTTCGTTTCCATTCGGCAATTAAAAAGATATTACTTCATGTTTTGATTTTAATATAGAAAAACATTTCTACTGCCTTTAAAATAGAGAGTAAAGTCTCTCATTGTAACAGCCAAGGTATCGAAGATTTGAAGAGCCGTTAGTATCTAAAACCATAACTTCATACTGCTCATGGTCAAACACCTTCTACAAAATATAACAGTGAATTAAAACAGAAAACTCAACTAAGGACACAATGGACATTTTGTAGGAATTAAAGTTGCTCTGAACTGTAATTTCTGGAACCATACAGACGATTTATCCTCTCGTCTTAAATTTATGAATAAAAATTCCATCTAATAAAAGGTTTAATATAAAACCGTTTTACTTAATCGTTGGCCTAACGGTTATACAATTTTTTTAATAATAGAATCAAATCTCAGCAGCTTGCGGAGATTCAGAAACAAATGCTGAAATAAAATTAAAATATAAGACCACCAGGACCGTATTTAGACCTGACAAGATCCTAATGTGGATCCTTTATGAGGGATACGAGTCAATTTTATTTTATATGGGATATCATACAATTTTTGGGGGGGGGGCAAGAAAGTGGGGGCCCTAAGCTATAGCTTATACATAATAATATGTGCAGCTTATATGTAAATCCGGCAGTGAAGATGACAAAGTAATGCGCTCCTACAAACTTTGCTCAGACCCTCAAGTTTTCAAGAGCAATCAGGGTAGGAAAGCTAAAGCCGCTTTAAGTAATCCAAGGGACAAGTTATAGCGTGATGATCAGTAGTAATAGCTATCGAAAGCTTTGTCCCAAATTCAAGAACTCTGCGTGTAGATACTTTTACTAACTTGCATTCTAGTTGAAGCCGACGAAGTTACAGTATATTCGGGTAAATAATAACAGAAAAGGGAGGGAACCAAAAAAATCTGAAAGCTTTCAAATTTTATATTACGCTCAAAGGGGCGTATTTTTCATTTACACCTACATACACGTTTCGGGAGCATTTGGGATAAAAATATTTAAAAACAGTACACTAGAGGGAAGGGCTCCCAGACCAGGCAAACATCTAAGTTTCCTTACACGGTTAATGTTCCAACCCCTACAGGGTATTCAAAGAGTCAGTGACACAATCGTCAACAAAGAGAACACAAATCAAGAGGGTCTGTCTCTTAGTGTTGAACAGGGAGATCCAACGCCCCTGGACAATCTTCGAAATCTTAACCATGTAGCGGCCCCACAACCAAGGGAAGGACAAAACAGTGCCATATGATCCCCACCGAAACCTGAAAACTACCACCGTATAAACCAGGACTTAGAAGAGAAGGGGAGCTTTTCATAGAGCTTTTCCCCCTGAAGCAGAAAGTGAGAAGTGATGACGTAGCCATGATGACACTGAGCGCGCCAATATAATTCACAGCTTCGAAATTAGCGTTTTGAACCAGCGTTTAAAATGAGCTGGTGTGTGAAAGATAGCTATAATTTGGAAGAGGGCAAGTTACTGCTTTATGCTTTTAGACTGAACCATTAAAAAATTTAATATGCTTACTCAATTTTAAAAAATAGAATAATGTGCTACTCTTTTAACATAATTTCCGTGGTTTTTTTATTTTTATTTGCAGGTTTTTTTTTTATGCCGTTTATTTCTAATCATTCTTTATTTGGATGCTAACTGAGAGAATTTTTATACTGCTTCTAAGATAACTATAATGCAGCTATTTAAATTTACTCAAAAACACTTTACATTGACATGGTTTAAACATATATGATATATATGGCAACATTTGCTAACCTAGTTTGATTTTTTGCCTAATTGAATTTTACATTTTAATTCTCGTCCGATTCAATATAATAGATTTTTAAAATAACTTTGTAATTTATACTTATATCTATATTACAATTAATAAATGTATATAAGATGTTACCTTAATGACAAACTAGCTTTATTCAGAGTACCTAAAACATTATTTAATTTTCAAAAGTGTGAGTAAAGGAAGCCGGTCTTTTCTGCCAATTATTTTGAGTTTATACTATTATATTTTATCTAGAATACTAATCTAACAAAATCTAATCATAATTAGTTACAAAGATACATAAGAATAACTTTAACAAGTACTTAACAAAATTAGTTGTTAAATACTTGTTATTCTTGTTGGTACTATTTTGGTACTATTCATAATACGAAGATATTATCGATTAAACTCATAGAATCAGAGCTTTCTGATTTCTTGGGATAGAGTATACCTTTTGCGGTACTTTTGAAATATGTTTCTCTGGAGCGACTTTTTGTCTCTCGTTTCCCTGACCATTAAATAATTGGTTTAGTTTGTGACACAATTGATTTCTTCTCATCTCTATTTAAAACTCTTAAAATATCAAAATTTAAACGACATCTTCTAAAACAAATCCTCTATCTAAAACGCGGTTTCTCATAATTTGAGGCGAGCGCGAAATGAGATCTCTGATAAAACAAACTGCCTTTTGAAAAAACCAACTTAGTCCAGTTTAGAGTCATAGCAGAGTTTTCAATCTATATGCATTTCGTCGAAACTGAGAAGGCATATTTTTTTCTACAGAATACAATATTCGCCTCTTCTTCTTAGAGTAGAATTATTGAATCTGGACTACACTAAAATTTAGAAAACACTATAAAAATAAATAAACACATTTCTTTAATTGGATAATACTAGGTAAAAGATATTCTAGATTTCCAAAATCATAGCTTAAGATGACAGAGCCTATGACGATTCGTGAAATATCTTCACTAGTCCACTTGATTTTTTCCTTCTTTTTCAACAATGCATTAATCTGCGTCTTTATATAAGAAAAAAGGCTTTAGACGTTTTTCCAAATTCTCTGATTTATGCCCCCCGAAATTTCGCTATTTGAGATTTTAATTTCTGATACCAATTTCTTTTTAGATGTCGTTCACCTTCTTTGTCACTGAACAAACATTCTAAAATTTTTCTTTTCCAATAATACTTTAATACAATTTCTTAAGGATATTATTTTGTTTTTCAAATTATCAATGCATTCTTGTTTATCCTTAAACTTAGGACATTCAGAAATATCTACATTTTCATTTGCGAGTTTTGTTTCAATAATTAACATTTGATTTATTATTGTAATCATAATTTACTTTCGGCACAGCATTCCATTTCAACAGTCTTTTTGTGGCTATCCAAACAAGCGATTTTTCATACCATCTAACACGGCATAAAATTTTCGCTGAGATTTTCCCTCTTCACATTGATAAACATTATTAGAAAACAGATATTATATTATTAAAATTAATTTGGGATATGTAACCTCTAAAATCGTCTCGCAGCTCATGAAACTACGTTTAAACGCGGGAATCAACAGTGGCATCACAGTGACGTCGATTATTGCCTGTTACGTCCCCCCCCCATTAGGCTCGCGTCGGCGAGGAGTCGAACAAAGAAATGAGCTAGCCCTTCTATTTATCCCTGGTATAAACGACGGTTCTAGTCACTGCGAAGACCACAGAAGTCGAGTCTGTCAAGGTACAGGTCCTAACCAGAACGCCGGTGGTTGCACCCCGTCGATCCCGGAAGGAATATTTAAAAGAATCATATCTTTAGAATATCCGATAGACAGTCTCGAGCGCTGGAGATAAAAATATTTTATTCCGTACAGTGCCACTGCTCGCTTTGAAATCGTTTCCTTAATTAAAAAATTGGTTAAAGTTTAAATTATGAAGTAGATAATAAACATATTCGAAATTCAAGATTCGGGCTTCCAGGTGCCCATATTCTAGTGGAGGATTACGCTATTCAAAATTTGATGCCTCTAGGTATCGTTGTTTGTTCACAGTCGGAGAAACATACATACGTTCATGCAGATTTTTCATTATTTCATTTCTTTAATTATAATACAGGGCGATAATATTTGGTGGCAAAAATCTGAAAAGTGATACAGCCATTTATAGTGATTCGATGCAAAATGCCGTTTCGAGACTAATATGCCTTAAGCCTACAATTTAGACGATTATGGTATCTAAAAATCAAATTAACCATAAAACTTGGTCGAGATTTCGAGACGCCTTATCTACTCTAACTGTGATTCGGCGGAGAGAGACTTAAAATAGTGTATTCATAACAGCCCAGCAATTTTTCATTGGTTAAAATAAGAAACAACGTTAACTACAAAAAGTGTCTCAAATACACGTCTTGGTCCGTAGATATGTGAAATAATCTTTTGTTTGTTTGTTTGTTTGTTTGTTTGTTTGTTTTTACCTCAGAAGATTCATTTTTTGCATTTGTTTTCTAACCCCGGGACATGTGATGTCCGGAAAGTTCTCTGATATTTATAGCTTGATTAGTACAGTCATGATTTGATGAGCATGACATTAAAGTTACATATTGATGTGCCCGGTTTTCTGATCATCGGACAGATGTAGTCGTTTGGAGGACAGAATTCGCAATCGATACTTTTCATCAGCTTCCCTTCAGGAACTTGGAAGATCTCTGCATGAAGAATACTTCAGTGAAAAACCGTTCTGCATTTAAATACAATTCCGTTTCTTGCCGCATTCAGTTAGATTTCCCATGCACACTAGTAAAAATGTTTCCTCATAAATGTTCTGGGTTTCAATATTCTGGTAACCAGCTAGATATATGTAGACAGACAGATAGCTAACTGATGGATAAATAATTCATTAAAATGTTCAAAGATGAGAATAAAAGTAAATTTGTGAGGTATTGGAATAAATTAAAAGGAAACTGCAAATGTGTGAATGTTGAAGTAAAAACAGGCTGACTCCTCGCACAGGCGTGAAATAATACCAGCACAGA